ACACTTGGCCATTATTTGAAAAGGTTGTTCTGCTGTACTGTAGCAGAGAAAATATTATTGAGTTTCACATACAGAGCGTATATCGACAGCGTCGATCGATAAACCACGAGGTGCGATTCACATATGGAGTGGGATTCTTGTTATCGCAATTAGAATATTTTCCTCGTTTGATAAGTAATCTAGATAAAATCCACAACTCCACTGTTTGGAAATTTTTTTACAAGTTCAAATGCTTTCGTGCTTAAGCTTATTCTGTTGAGGTTCAGGCTACAGCTTAAACTCAGTAGCTGTTTTATTGGGCAATATATACGGAAAATGGGAAATCCTGGGCACTACAACGATAGAACATAGTTTTCTTTTCGACTTGAGCGCAAAAGCTAGAAATCTTAACGACGCAAAAGCAGTTTCTCCACAAATAACCAAAATCCTCTCAATTTCGCGCGACGTGAGTGATTCACAATTTTATCTTTGGTGTTACAAAGCTGTGCACAGACCACTTTGGTAAGAACTACAAATCTGAAATCAGATTCAGACTTTTTGAATAACTGCTAAGAATTTGACGCAAAATCATTAACTACTAAAAAGGTTTTTTCGAAGATTCTTTGTCCGATGACGAAAATGGTAGTAAAGTTTCATAACGGAATGGCAATTCTGATGACAATGTCATCGGTAATCATTAAATGACAATATAGCCGAGGTCACGTTTTATTCCACTTCTTGTAATCACTCTAACTCACCACTGCAGGAAGTAGCAATTGGTTGACTTGGTCTATGAATGTTTATAATACCGCCAAGCATAAGGTAGCTACTATATGTAGGGAGAGGAATATGAATACCTTAAATAAGTCTTTTGAGGCTACGATATAGCATTTGGTTTGTTGTTAAGTTGACGATAAAGTGGGATCGTTAATCAAACGTTTGCAGAGCGCCAGTCTTCATGAAAGAAAATGATACTATCATTGCATGGATTACCAAGTGGGTAACTCGTATTTTGATCATTGATATGGATCGTATCTGTATATCGATATGTTTTAGTTTCGTAACTTCAAATTTTATTCGTACCTTACAACCTTCAGCATTTCGTAGAGCATCATTAACTGTTTTTGATGACGTGTTTCTAACAGGTGAAAAAGTTTGAACACTTGATCGTCTGGTAACGAAAAGGAACAAATCGATGTTGACATAAGTAGTCTGAATACGGTAAGCTTTGATAGCGTTAATGCACTTGAAATACTTGACAATACCACAGTTTGAAACTTTTGTTACATTATTTCGATCGAGTGGTCCATTGATCTTTATTTGATTGCCTGATTTTAGCTGTTATGAAATATTATATGCATAAGTTCATAGGGTTCTTCACGCCAAGGGATCACGTGCGTTTTGGCGATCTCGCTCGCCTCGTCAGATCCACATCTCAGTAGCCACTTTACATAGTAGGGAAGAAGAGGGGCGACCGTGTGCCATCGACTGTAAAGAAATAAAACCAGACGACATCCTATGTCACCAGGTTTTAGTTTTTTTTTAGTTTTTTTTTCATTTTATTTTGAATTTATCACCTGTTATACTTGTACATGAGATGTCATTAATTTCTATACTTTGCCTAGATCGATCCTAGTACGCTTCTTTTTTTCGTTACCTCGTAACCGTACATCGATATCAATTTTAGGAGTTTGGTTTGTGTAAGCTGAGTCTTAAAGGATTTCTCGTCATCTCTTCCCAACAAGATGTTTAATGATGTTTACAACGTTTTTTCATCCTTGATGATGAGCAATGGTTGCCACCCTGTAACTAGGATTAGGATCAGCAGAGATTTCAATAATTAGGAGACCTATCAGAGGTCAATTTCAGGTCTTTCGAGGATTGTAACGTCAGTGGCTTACGTACATTTCGGCGACCTATTTCGTCTCGTCAGAGCCACACGCTCCACAAGCCACACTGCAAATAGGGAACTGTGATGCAGTATGAACCTGGTCAGTGCGTTGTAGGTACAGATCGTCATTTTAGTTCGTTTGGATTTGGCAGCCTACTTTGGCCCTGAGATTTTAGCAACCTCTCCATACTAGTCTTACCTGGCGCTACCGCAGCAGAGGCTCTTTCAGGGTCAATGGAATGAGGCCCGTATTTGCTATTGTTTATGGTATTTTGATACCCAACGTATAGCTTGCCAGGCTCTAGACGTGGCGCTGGATATTCACGAGTAGCTTACCAGTCTGTCTCGGAGGAGCGGGAGGAGCCTATTTTTTTGGAAACGACGTCTAATCGCCTTCCATGTACTTCCCAGCCGCTTAATTGCTGATTGCAGGCTTTTGTCCGACTTGACCCGTGAAAATAGAGTTTTGTCAAGTTGGCACCGCAGAAACCAGGAGCTCATCACCTGAATCCACCCGCGTCTCTGGTAAGCACACGGTCGTTTTTTGATTCGCATTTATGCCCCTGTCCACCACCTAGAACGCGCCACGTGCCCTCGTGATTAACCGGGCGGGATCCCTCAAAGAGGGATATGCCGTGAAGCGGTTCTGTCATAGTTAAATAATAATTTGAAAGTGCATATTACTGATGTCGGAATCGGTGACGTGTCAAGGAGACAAATTCATCAATTCAGCGACGACACTACCATTTACGAGTTGTTCAATTACACGACATTATCGCGTGTGTCCGTGATACGTTCTTCTATTGAGTACTCTGAAGTCACATAGAAAGCGGTGCCTTCCGAACTCCTGTAGCAATCACGTCTATAGATGTCACGTCGTGCATTCTATCAGGTCTTTTGCAGCCCGCTCGTTTTAAATGGTTTCGCTCCATATATGGGGTTTTCTCCATGTTTTTGGAAAAAGAAATTCCTCTGCGATTCTTCTATTCCAGGTACGCTATAGTCTTCTGTACTGCCTCGTATGTACAATAAGCATGAGCAACACTTAAAAGTTATCAAAGTGACTAAAAATCAGGAAAAGAACGTAGCGATCATCGAAAACGATGCTGCGCACCGCATGTAAACTCTTGTCCGGAAAACAGAGGGATATCTGCGCCTCTTCATAGGCCGCACTGTCTGACCGTACTCTCTTCGACAGCAGTGCTTTCTCGTTGAAGATGAGAAATGAGCTGAGAAATTATTAATGACAGATCAACAGCCTCTCTCGTCGTGACCTATATGTCAGTGGCAGAGGCGGCTGTCTCAAAATAAAAGGTGAGCGTTTCAGATCCCCTTGGAAGAAAATGCACATCTCAAACATGGCACAAACTCTACATTTATGAAGTTTAGAATAGTACTTTATAAGAGCCTCACCATGAAGGACCATGTAGTCATCGACAACAATTTTATCAGCCAAGATCGGCTTAACGCCTTTATAGCTCAGTGGCAGAGCGTCTGTCTCGTAAACAGAAGGTCTGTGGTTCAATCCCGCATGGAGGCAAGTATTTTGCTCAAACACGATAGAAATGCTAAAAATACTTAAATGGCAAACATTAAACCGTAAGTCCTCGTGAGTCCATTCTACACTTTAATAAGAGTATTAGTGAAGAATTATTCACATATTCATCTAGTAAAATACGCCATATGCACTGTGGTTATCGCAGATAGGGTAATCACGGCCCTATAAAACCACTTTTCAAGCGTGTTGAGCCCTCCTCAAGTCGTTTTGCCTCTTTGTGATTCGAATTATTGGGAGACGATCTCGAGGTATTGGTTCACTGCCTCAAAGCTGGATTATCAGGTTACTAAGTCAATACTGATTTCAGGTGTGACACAGTGACTGAATTTAACGTCATGAATTATTCGAATCTTCAAATCCAAAAAATGTCTACATTTTTATAACGCATTGATAGAAGTATTCGACTCTGTTGATTTAGAGAAGGGCTGTCATATATTATTCCTATCCAGCAATAGTTATATTTCAGACATAATTATATTACAGACATAATAAGGCAAATAAAATTTTTACGAGTCTAACTGTTTAGTAATTAGTACAGAGCTTGGAAAACCCAAATTATAGTCAAAAATTGAGCCTTTGCATTTGGAAAAAAAAAACAATTTTGAACAAATCATACATTTAGTTGACATCAAATCTAACTTAAAACACTTAACGCTATTGATGAAGTCCTTGTAAAGACATCGAATGTTTTACACGAAGGATGGAGACTATGGAGTGTGATTTGATAGTGACAAGAATATTTCGGTTACACGTTGCCGATTCGCTTGTCCGTGTGTCCCAATTAATATCGACATGTTTGGGTTTTCAGCGAGTTTTTTCACAATCCTTTATTATCCCTCGTCCAAAATGGCACCTAATTCACCTCATTACCTGTTGAACATCGGTTAGTTGTCTTCCTCTTACATTTCAATAGTACGAGTGATTTCGAATATGTGACAAAGTCTCCAGCTAGTGATCATCAGTCACTGTGATGACTATCGACATTTTATAGTCCCTCCGTTTTGAATAGAAACAATGCGGATTTCATCCGCTGTTAGTGGTAATTCATCCATATTCATAAAGTTTTCCACTATCAGTAGAAATATTGCAAGTACATTTGAGCACTGTCATGAGACGCTGCGGATGAACTCAGGACATAATCCAAAACCCAGGAGTACAACAAAATCACTATGCTCTCAGCTGAACACAAACTTAGACATATTGCCTCACTGCGGAAATGTAAAAAAAAACCCTCCTAACTGAGTTTGTGTCTATCTGCATCTCAAATTAGATTTCTGGTGCACTTCGTCCACCGTCTAACTGAATTTTTATGGAACTAAAGCAAGAAACGGCATCGCTTCAACTGTTGTTTCGTAATAATTTCTAAAATGCATCGACAAGCTCTTACCTGCATGCAAGACTAAATTGCTGCTCTCCAAGAAGTGAGGAAGACGACCTCTGGGAAGTTAAAGAGGTCGCGTCGACCGCTACAGGGTAATATCATCAATCGTAAACTACTTCGAAGTTACTTTTTAGTGAATGTTTTTCCCATCTGTGTATCTTTACAATCGGATCACGTTGACGCAAAGCAATTGCCTTCATATGGGATTGAACCGCGGACCTTCTGCTTACAAGACGGACGCTTTGCCATTGACCTATGAAGGTTCTAAGGCACTTCATGTTAATAAGTCGTCATCACTTTCACATGCTCTACCAAAGTGAGATTATACAAAGTGCTGCTTCAACTCTTTCAAACAGTAGGTGCCACACGACTTCGCACTGTTACGAAGATTGTCGTGACAATATAAAAACTGATTAACTAAAGTTTTAGGAAAACATGTTCTTACTGAATGATGAAATAACACTGAAGAGATTTTCGCTAAAATAAGAGGTTAAGGAAAAAGTTCCTTAACATTAACTGAATATTCAAAGTTTGTTCATAAATTTAAATAAAAGCAGCAGTTTTCAATCAAAAATGCAAAAATGATGCAAAAATGTTGGGACTCAATTTCGGAATCAATTGATTTATGAAATGAGACTGAACGTACTTGGAGCATATTATGAAAGCTCTTCATTTAGGATTAAAAAACGTAATTCGAGCTGAAGAAAATCGCGATTAATGTGAATAAAAGGAAAGGGATCTCATTTCTGTCATTCTTTGAAGCTTCATTTATTGTCTTCTGTTTAGCACTCTTAAGGTCTTTATCTTTAGATAAGATAAGAGAAGAGCGTCTAAGATTCGATGATGCATGGGTGTTTACCGTAATTGAAAAAAATCTTTTTCGATGTTTGTCATTTCTTGAACAGATGAACTGCGAGGTCCCTTTGTCATTATCGTTCCTTCATTCCAGGCAGCACATTATAGGGGATTACCTCACGTAACGACCTCTATTGCGATTACGGTTTTTTTTCGTCTCAGTGTAGTCTAGATAGGAATTGATTTTTCGCTCGTTCTTCAAACATGATATAAACCTTCCGTAAAGATAAATAAAGGATCACACAAATACCCACGGGTACTTAGCGTAATTAGGTTCTTGAGATTTGGCCTCTTTTTACTGAACAAATGTAGTAGATTGGATAGTCGAGGCCAATCGCCTCACAGCGTTGAAAAAGCCGAAGTAAGGCGCTCCGTCGTGACTGCACGGAGATGTTTAGAGGTGGGGCGCTGAATGTGCACCTTACTTAGTGATAACCTTCATAACGAACCATTCGACGAACCTCGCTAACCTTCATCACGAACCACTCGACGAACCTCGCTGATCCCCAAATTTCTCATTGAAGTGCGGATTCATGTAAGTAATGAGTCACTAAGTTCCGTAGAAATCGCTGCACTTTCCTTCCATTCGCTTCTCCAAAATGCATTGGTATTTGTGGAGGTGATTAAATTTGCCTAATTTGGCGGAGGATTCAGAAACTGGATGCGTATCTAATTGACAAGAATTCCGATTGAATTCAAATTTTCTTAAAGTAAGCTCCACAAATGTGATCTTTCAGACTGAGTGTATTTAGAACTGATGTTACACGTTAGCAAAACACTTGCCTCCATGCGGGATTGAACCGCAGACCTTCTGTTCACGAGACAGACGCTCTGCCACTGAGCAATAGAGGTCACGAAGAACTGTATTGTCAATGTGTTACTGATTATAGATGTCCTTTCAAAGTTCTTTGATGCTAATAATTTTTGTAATCAATAAAGTGCATAACTAAAACCCTTTTGCCTCCGCGCGACTGAGCCAGAGACCATCTGCTTACGAGACAGACGCTTTATCACTCAAGCACCTGCCTGAACATTGTTAACGTGCTAATTGTCTCTAAAAAAGAGCGCTTCACAAAAATGAGCTTCGATTAATGTTCTTACATATTGAGCATCTTCAGGATTTGTATAGTGTTTGGATAGACAATTCCCTCCATGCGGGTTTGAACCACAGACCTGTTTACGGGGTAAGCGCTCTGCCACTTACCAATATATGCTGTGAGATGGTCTGCGTTTGCAAATTCCGTCAACATTGCAAGCACTTTCACAGCGAACTTTCCTTTAGGAATTTGTACTCAGTTTGAGAAGAACGCTCTAAATAAAATGCATTTAGAAGTGGTGCCGTATTTGAGCAAAGCACCTGCCACCATGAGAGAATGAACTGGAGACGTTCCGTTCCAAGACAGACACTTTGCCTCTGAGCTATACATTCTCCAACTGATTGCGCATTATAAAATCTAGCTACAATCATGGCCCCTTTTAAGCTTCTTATGACGGTTCTTTCTGATTAGGAGGGGACAAATGAAAAAGCGACCTCATTCGCTGGAGAAAAGCTTTTCAAGGGAGTGTCAGTAACCATTCGAAAGCAAATAGTTGAGGCTACAGCCACAGTTTCGCCGGTTTTTCAGAACACCCTTCCGTTGCTGTAATTCCATACAAATTTATGTCTCAGACGCGCATATCTCTCGCAGGACAGAGCTCTTTCTTTGGGCTATCAGCAATCATTCGATAACGTAATCGAAATTGATTCAGACGCTGTGCTTATATTCTGAAAAGATGGCTTCTCTAGAACGCAGCAGGTAAAATAAGTTGAATTTCCATCTGCGATCAATGGCCGCATCGGCCAACTCACGTGCGTGTGCTCGAGGCGCCCACGTGAACTGCTGACGCGATACTTCTCTACGCGTTCATATGCCCGAAAAGTCCATGACCATCGCGTCAAAGCGTGGCTGCCTCGCCAGCCACGTTCGCATACGTGAATTGGCCCAAACTGGCCCTTCATCGCAGCTGGAAATCCAAATTTTTTTACTTGCCGCGTTTCAGAGAAACAGTCTTTTCATCATGTAAACACAGCGTTGGAATCAGCAACGATTACACCATCGAATGCTTGCTAAGAGTGCAAAGATAGAGCTCTGTCCGGCGAGTAATATGCGTGTCTGAAGTTACAAAATCACATCCTGTAGCAACGTTGACAAGAGTCCTTTTCGAAAAGCGGCTATGTGATGCTGTAGCCTCTTCTCAGCTTCGGAACGCTTACTAACACTCCTATGAAAAGTTCCTCTCCAGCGAATGACTCGTTTTTTCACTTGTCCCATCCTAATGAGAAATAACCCTTATGACTATTTGTCTCAGATTTTACATAGTTTTTGAGCAAAATACATGCCTCCATGCGGGATTGAACCGTAGACCTTCTGTTTACGTGACAGACGCTCCGCCCACTAAGATAGAGGCTCTACGGCGGCTTGCGTTAATAAATTATCATCACTATTACATGCTCTACCAAAGTGAGCCCAGTACAAAGTGCTGCTAGAACTCTTTCGAACAGTGACAGTCACACGACTTCGCAGCGTTACGAAGGTTGTCGTGCCATTATATAAAACTGATTAACTAATTTTTTTTGAAAACATTGTTCTTACTGGATCATAAAATATCACTGAGGAGATTTTTGCTAAAATAAGAAGTTGGGGAAAAAGCTCCTTAACATCGACTGAAATTAAAGGTTTATACTTGAATTGAATAAAAGCAGCAGTAATTATTCTTCAAATTGAAGACCACCATTATCCACGATTTTCTACCAATGATCTGCAAGCATCCGGATCTGCTTGAAAACATCATTCCTCGGGCTCCGAATCAAAGAAACTCTTGACATCCTCTTTTTACTTGATCGCATGTCTCAAATCGGCGTTTACACAGGAAATGCTTTATTGAGCGGAAAAGATAATAATCGGACGACGCAGCATCCGAACTGTATGACTGGGTGCGGCAAGACCTCGACTTCTTCCAGTTCATCAAAATTCTCTTTAGGCTTCTTACGTGTGAGGTTTGGAACTGCCTCGCTGAAACAGCAAGCTTTCGCGAATCAATGTCGGGTACTTTTACTTGAGCGCATCGTAGACTCGGTCCAACTGCTCGCAGTTGAATTCAACATTGATGGCGATTCATAATTCATTTTCAAGATTTATGATGATGATGATGGATGATGATGGATGATGATGATGATGATGAGATCATTTTGTACATCGTCATCATTTCATATCCGAAGTGTAAATTAAATTCGATGCACTATACTAGCGGCATTGTGGAAGTATCTTATGAAAATATTCCCGAGATATCCGCATGGCTTTACAATAACCCATACTGTGTGAGACGAACATGAAATTTGAATTTTTTCGGCGGGTGTTGAGGAACTTTTCCTCAACCTAGTAATTTTGGCACGATTAACGCCAACACTTCCGAAAACCGTGCATTAATCAAAGTGAGAACCACATCCTTTTAAAATCACATATGGTTTCTGCTAATAATGGAAGATTTTTTCTAACTCTGGGCAGATTTTTGTAGCCAAACATAAATATATTTTTATAGCCAATCCTTAGATGAAAAGTTCTGATTCGAATGCTACGCTTGGCCGTGAAAAGATCTGCAGAGCACGCTGTTCCAGTCAGAAAGGGTTAGGACCTCGCACCTTATGAGTGGGTTTTTCCAAGTTCACAGCGGATTTCTTGACATTTGTTGTGAGAATTTGATACCCAGAGAACATCATCACCAAAATACCTAGGCTGTCTATAAAGGACTTTTTAAACGTATTTGCAACAAGAAGTTGTCCGGATGTCTCAGAAATCCACGCTTTCGAATACGATAACTATGCAGTGCAGTCGTTTTGCGTAGAAGGTGCTAGTAAATTCTTTGATTTCTCCTAGAAAAGGGATCTTCCACTTAACTATTAGTAATCACTCGATAGTTTAAAAACGAAACTTATTTTACAAAGCTTTGTTTGCAGAAAGGAATCTCTTTTCATGCTATTAACAAAAAGACGATAACATTTTGCTTACGGAGTAACAAGCCCGTTCCTCAACTTTACAGCTAATTTGAGATTGATATTATGAACTTTTAGTTCAAAAAATTTATTTAACAAGTGATAACTTGGAAGAACAACATTTAATAAAAACAGTTAATACCTAAAAAATACATGGTCATCATTTTGCAGGTTTGTACATCCTGCTACGATTGATATTGGGCATACATCAACCACTTCGTGTACTTTGAGACAATCGACAAACTTTATATCCCGGGGCAACCTACTTGTGAATGATTACATTCTGCAGTTCACAGTATGAAGTCATTTTAAATGAGGGAACTGTACGAGGTACAGGAAACAACATCGCTGAAACTCTACTAAAAGGAACTACGTAGG